TATGAGAAGTTTTAAAATGTATAAATCATACAATTGCAATATTAAAAAATGCAATTAAAATATGTGCTTTTATCTTATATAACAACTTAGTTTTTTACGATTGGTAGTTACGTTCGCAATTTTTTAATGTTGTATAATTCTTATAATACATATTTGCTTTATGTACACAATTTAATTATTGTATATACATAATTATAAACGTAATTTACTCTTAATTCGTCTTAACACTTTAATGTTTTGTAGGATCTTTTCACAATTTTTCGCGAGGTATGTTACATCGTAATGACATAATAATTATTTGTCAACTAATTTCTAAACTATTATTTGTGAGTTCGATTGAATATATTAATGCGCACTGGTGCATGTGAATACTTTTATCTATTAAATAAAAACATATGCATAATCAACAGGGACTCGGACCGAAATTATATTATGGATACATTATGGATACATTAAAATTTCGGCTGGTTACGGTCCGAAAATACCTAACTTTCAATTTCGGTGTCGATTTCAGTTCTTTTAGTAATAACGTGACCATTATGATATAATTATCGAATTATATATTATATAATTATCAAAAACCCAAAGAAAACCCGAACAGGATCGAAATCCAAATGAACGTGATAACCATTACGGTAAAAGAACTGGAATGAAAAGTTGGATTTAGTTATCTAGGACTGTTATTCGGAATTTTTTCCGGCCGAGTCCCTGATAATCGCAAATAGATAATCAAAAAATCAATGAGATGCTTAATGCAGATTTCAAATATATATTAAACAATTTATGATAAAACTTTTAATGCAAACGCAAAGAAAAATAAATATATGTATATATTATTTGTAGAGCCCGAATCAAAATTCTGAGATCGCGCTAGTTCAATCGTAACTAGCTGTCTCCAATGCACTTCCTCATCATGTCTTATAAGTTAGCGGAACAAAATGAGCAGAATCAATTTTAATTAACATTTTTATTTATTGCTCATTTATTGCTTAAAATTTTTTACTCTGTCAGTTTTTTTTTTAAATGATGTTCGCTAAAGAAAGATTAAGTTAGTAGAACGATATAACAAAGCCACTCTACGTTAAAATAACGTAGAAATTTATTACTAATTTGTTGAAATATACTAGTTTCGAATCCAATACCTACGAAATAAATGTAAATAACAACGAAAAATCTCAGCATGCTGACAGAACAAGAGTAAAATATTAATAAAAAATTTGTTGCTCATTTAAAATTTGATACTGAGATGTCGTCTGAATTTGTTGCTCTCGAAATATGCAAATTACGAATTTGTTGCTTACTAATACTTTACTCTTGTTTCTCTCTTACTCTTGTTAGTGGATTCAATGGCTTTATTGTATGTATATTGTTCTGCTAACTTAATCTTCCTTTAGCGGAACATCATTTAAAAAAAATTGGCAGAACAAAAAATTTTTTTCTTTGTCAACTTTTTAGCAACAAATAAAAATGTTAATTAGAATTGATTCTGCTCACTTTGTTCCGCTAACTTATAAAACGTTTCCTCATCCTATATCGCGGCGAATAATTCAGGCAATGTATATATATATATATATATATATATAT